ACATTGTAATATAAAGGTGCTGAAAAAGGAAAATAAATAGCAAAAGAGTGTTTTTATATCCTGCATCTGTCTTACAACCGAGACCCTCAGAGGCATCACTGCTCATAACTACCGGCCTGAGGAAATCAGGGTTGAGAAAAAAATCTGTCTGCTCAACTAGGTCAATGTTGTATTATTTGTTTAATTTATTCTTAAATCTATGTATTGTATGGTAATGATGAATTAAAAAAAACAAAAACAAAAACGTAATGTATTGAACACATTCCGAAACAAAGCAGATAGAATAGACTCAGACATTATTGTGATTGGAACCTTTTGCTCTGTTGCTGCAAAATGAAAACTTTTTTTGATTGTCTGTTCCAACTGGCCACTGGAATAAGATAATTGATCTAAGTTGAAGTTCAATTACAGTTTTTAAATATAGTTTAACATTCTTTATTAAACTGTTTCAAATTATTTCTAGTCAAAATCTCCCTCTTTCTCTGCTCTGCTTGGTGCTGCAAAAAAAAAAAAACGCAAGACACGGGGTCAGAGACAGGCGTGACCTCTGGAAGAAAAAGATAATCTGAAGCAGACCACGGCACGGCGCGACCCATTGGGGGTTTTATGGCCTCAGCACAAAGGAAGATCTAATTGCAGCAGTCAGTTTATAATTTTGCCAGTACTGTCGAGCATTTTCCAAATGTATTTTCATGCCTCTGTGCATGGCTTAGTCTTTCTATCCGCATAGCCACTGGTGTAACTAAGTTCATAAACTCAACAAGTACTATACTTGGGCACAATTTTGAGATACTGGTACTTTATTTGAGTATTTAAATGTTTTGCTACTTTATTCTTCTACTCCACTACAGTTCAGTGGTACATGGTGTATTTCTACTCCACTACATGTATTTAATACCTTTTAGTTACTTTCAGATCTGGATGAATGATGTGAAATATAATCAAGTGTTGAATCAGACTTTAGTTCCACCTGGAGTAAATCCACCAGCTACCCTGCAGTATACAAAGTCATTCAAACTAGCTGCACCTTCACCAGCTTTGAGAACACTTTCATGATCAATCATTATAAAACACATCATATATATTATTCTGAAATGGACCAATCTGCACAGTGACTACTTTTACTGTCGCTATTTTCACTATATTTTGATGACAATACTTTTATACTTTTACTTCAGTACTTTTACTGTAACTTAGTATTCCTACACCCTGGAACTTCTGACTTTCCTACAGGAGAAGAAAATGAACGAAGTGTATCCAAATATGTGGGTGGCCCTCAGGATCGCTGTCACTATTCCAGTGACAGTAGCTGCTGGGGAGAGGAGCTTCTCCAAATTGAAGCTCATTAAAACATACCTGAGGTCGTCAATGGCTCAAGAACGCCTCAATGGATTAGCTTTAATAAGCATCAATCGCGAGGTTTCGGGGCAAATATCATTTGACGATACAATAAATGAATTTGCAGCAAGGAAGTCCAGACGTGTCCGACTTTAAGGATGTGGACTAATTAAAGGACACAATAACATAGCAGAGACTTGTTGTTCTGATTGCCTGTTTCATTTGATTTATAGCGTGTGTAATGTTGTTCATTATCTTAATTTATTTGCAATAACCTCAGTTGTAAGAGCTCCGTTGGCTATATTTGTGTCCACGTTTGCACTTTCTTTTCTTAAAGTTTCAAGAGAAGCTATTTTTGTTTGATGAGTGATTTTCATTTAATAACTACAATATTAATAATAAGGATAAAATAAATAAATATGTTACATTTATTTGTTATTGTCTGTGGGTTATTGGTTATGTTCACATACTTATTTGGTTATTAAAATGTAAACCGATCTTTTTCATATGGGTGTTTTAGAGTTGTACCTCCTATCAGGTCTCTAGTAATTGTGTGCTCAAAGTGCACCAGATTGAAGCATTTTACTTTAAAATGTTAAAAAAAAAATCTTTCCGGGGGGGCATACCCCTAGAGGATGTGACATCCACCCCCCAATTAAAACATGTTCATACAATGAATACATTTGAAACCTTTATGTATATTACCTATGTCAATAAGTTTCTGTTTTTGTAGAGATTTTTCATTTATTCTTTATATATTCTATTGTGTATTGCTTGGAGAGGGGGGGCACCAAATCATAATCTCGCCTAGGGCAGCAAAATGTCTAGGGCCGGCCCTGCCTGCGGGGGTTGGGTTTTCAGCATGTCAACTTTTTCACTTGTGGGGAAATAGCAGGATTGGCTCCAGGTCGCCCTTTTTATCTACTACAAGAAAAATGTGCCTTTTTATTTCATACAGTTCAATTTGGATTGAGACAGGGAAATAATCTAAACCTCACGCGTGGCGTTTCGCTGTCAAGGGGGCGATATAGCGTGTATGTAATTACATTTCAAATACTGATTTGAGCCCCACCACTGTATGGGTTAGCCCTACCATAGATTACCCAACACAAATACTTGAGAGCCGATAGGTCAATTAAATGCTTATCGCGACAGGCACACAATAAAACAGTGGAAACAAACGTGTTTGACTTTCATTAGTGAATGAAACTGTGTGCCCTTTTATAGTCTGTGTCCAATATTGTGTATTTGTATATATATTATATATATCCTAAATATATGCTAAGGTCCCGCTACTGACACGATAGCAGTCATTTCGTGCGCATGTGTGTTAAACAGCTCTGAAGGCCAAGGGTCAGAGAGAGAATCACACTCTGCGGCTGCAGAGAGCAACCCATCCACGGGCAAGGAGGCACGAGGTCGTTCGAGATGAGAGGATTCTAATCTTCAACTTTCTGATGAGATGGGATGCTTCTTCATCTTTCTGCTCGGTGGGCTCAGGCAGACAACTCTACAGGACGAGCGATGGTTTCAGAGGCATCTGGATGTGCCACTTGGAATAGGCAGGTGCACTGCTCTCAAGCAGATAGCAGAAGGAATACAGGAAGATGAGCCTCTGTTTCACTGGGAGATCATAAAGTGCTCACTGAATTGAGACACAAAAGCAGAGCAATTGGGGAGGTGAATTATGGCGCTCTGATGAAGAAGAGTTTTGAGCCAATCAGCGCTAATCTACAGTATCAGGATGCCTTTACACACCAGACATTCTGTGTCATAAAGAGAGGAGGAGAACGAGTCAGGAGGACATGTTCTTCTAGCTCTGGTACAAAGATAACATTTGAATTGAATGACCAGATGATTACAGATGTACAATTAATGATTGTTTTTGTATTCCCAATGAACAGATATGTGTTAAATAGTGGTGATAAATATATTTTGTCAGATCAGATTACACTTTCACACTAAACAAATAAATTAATTGATATTTTCAGATTTATAAGGTATTGAACAATAAGATATTTATAATATTATAACAGACAATGTTACTATCCTTAATCATTACCAGGTAACATGTACAACGAGGAAACCAGATTACAAGGCTCCCAATTCAGCGATTGAAATTGATTACAGTTGACACTCTGAATAAAGAACGGATGTTTTGATTTTTTCCTTTTCAGGTTGTTATACAATAAAATGTCTGATTCTTCCTTTTCAGATTGTTAAACATTTTGAGAATTGTTTAGTTTTCCCTTCAGATTTTGAAATGACATAATGATTGATAGTTTAAGTAATGTAATTATGTTATCATGCCTTACTCTTGAATAAAGCGTAATGAAGTAAACGTAAAGTAATGTTAAAGATTGAGGACACTGTAACTTTACAGATTACAGATTGATCGATTCATCACTGTGAATTTATACCTTAACTAGGAACCTTAGCTGGATCTCTCATGATTCTGATTTTATACCTCAATTGGATTTCTTATAATCCTAAATTCTAATTGTGTTTTAATAAGTAATTGCCTTGAAGTAAATCTTTGAGATGTAAGCTGATTTAGAATTTGTGTTTGATGAATGAGATTAACTGAGTGATAAATGATAAAAGATCTTATTTTTGAAACATATATTTTGCTATTATATTTTTGTATTTCATGTGTGTTTATTATTGTGCTTTTGACAAAAGATGCCAAACACTGAAGAGATGATTTTTCTATTATGGTTGACTGTGTTCAATCATGGTGATTGAAGTGTTTTCAATCTTGTTTACTTTTGATAATTGATGCATGCGAGTCCACCCAATTCTGAAGATGCTTATTGATTTAAGTATTGACTGAAATATTCTTAGACTAATGTTAATTTGTTATCATAAATTGATAAAAGGAGGGACTGTGAGAGAATATTTTAATCCAAGCTAATTGTGCTTAAAACTTTAGATAGTGAGATTCCTTATTTCTCTTTGTGTCTGTGAATCTGTCTCTTCTTTTCGATGGGGGAGGGCTCCCATTGCTCTGCAGTTTGGAGACAAAGAGCTCTTGTTTTTACATCTGGCAGTCATTAGAAATGAGCGCGGGCTCCTGTGGTCCCGCCCATCCGAAATAATGGGTTGGCGCTGTATGGTCCTTTGACCGGCAGAGTTGATATGGGTTTTCCCCCGACAGGAGGAGAACTTTATCAATCCTCCGACCGTTTGTTCGTTTGTTTGTTTAATTGTTTGTATTTAGAATAAACTCAGTGCTTTGGCTAACGACGATCCAGTCTCCTTCATTGAACTGAACATTGAAAGACAGAAGTTTCCTTCACAATATTCACATATTGTGTGATGAATGACATAAAATAGATTGCAATAAATCCCTTACAGATCAATGTAGATAAACTGTAAGAAGAAATGACTTTGACGTTTCCTTTTTCACAACTTTTTTGCCTCTGAACATAATTTAATAACATGTTTTTCTCCTACTCACTGGATCATACGTTATATTGTGAGATGATAGGAAACTGTGTAACTATTCTGCTTATGATAAATATTGTAAGAGCTGTGTGAAGAATCTGAGATCTTCAGTGGAAAAATGAAGATACTGCAGAAAGACAGAGAACGCAAGAGAGTTTGACCTTGGTTACACACACATGCACGCACACACACACACACACACACACACACACACACACACACGTTCTTTTTATATATTTTAGATAACTTAATAACATGTTTTTCTCATTCCACTATTGAACAGTTTGATGCTTGTACACCTCACATTCATGCTGATAAAGCATAATAAAAATGAATGTGAGAGTGAGTAGACAGTAGTGAGTCATATGCCCGATGTTACATAATCAGTCTGGGGAAGAAGCTACAGTAAGTGATGACCGCAGGTACGACCTTGTTGACATAAGGGGGCATTGAGTGAATACATTCAAATGTAACTTAAGCATTTAGAATCAGAATAATAATCATCTAAATCAGTTGTCCAGACTCCTGTTGCCTCAGGTCCCTGATTAAAATAAATGCTATTTATTTTCTGTGACGTAGTAGCAGGAATGTGTCTCGTACTCTCTGTTCACACAATGAATCATTGATGGCTTCCAGAGACGTTACTGAGAAGTGATTATTATTGCAGAGGGCTTTCGGTATGTGTGTGTCTCAGACAGTTAGTGAGTGTAGTCCCCCGTCTCCTCCTGAGAAAGAAAGAGAAAGTTCCAGTGATGTGACCGAGGAGCCAAGACGGCTGTCACAAATCCCATTGAGTGGGTGCTTGTCCGTTTCAATGTACATCTTTTCATTCACAAACTGAAGGGTGATGATTGATGGCGTATGTACACTTTCACTGTTCATCCCGGTGTCGCTGTGCCCCCCATGACCCCATGAAGCAGCGTCCTCAGATACCGGGAAAGCTGTCCACATATTCGCTTGATGACAGTGTTAAAGCCTGAGCACTTACATGCTCTCTGCTTGCAAGGTAAGTGTTTCTCTGGGAGGATGAAAATGCACGATCCTGTCGAGACAAAGAAGAGTAATTTGCTTTGATTTGAGTCTTTGTACCAGCTTCAATTGATGAGACAGAAGTCAAGAGAGCAAGTGGTGTTAAAAGCTGAAAACAGAGTCTTGTTTCTTTTTAACACCTATGTGTGTTCCCTTTGGGATCTGCTATTCACAAAGGTGCAATGGTGGAAAGTAAGTCAATTTACTCAAGTATTGTAATTTTCTGCACATATTTGTACTTTACTTGAGTATTTCCATTTAATGCTACTTTGACATTTCAGAGGCAAATATTGTACTTTTTATTCCATTATATGTATTTTAACACTCAGAGTTACTAGTTACTAGTAACTAGTTACATGGTATAATAAAGTATGGTACTTCTAATCTAGACAGTATTTCAAGTATAAATATTAAAATGCTCCTACATGTTTGAAAACAGGATAACATAATAGCCATAATAATATAATACTGTGAAAAGATCCATTCTTCCATCACTGCAACGGTGGGAGTGAGACGTAATCAGTGATATTTATAGGACAATTGTTTGACAAGTTTCTTGTTCTTGTAATTCTGTCTCATTGTCAAAACTGTGCTCAAAAACAACCACGCACTCCACAGCAGCTTGAACTGGGAGACCTCAGTGAACAAAGAGCACGGACTTGCTGTGCCTGAGGACACGAAAAAAACGAATCAATTAATTATCATGTTTAACCTCGATGAGCACAAGGATAAACATGAGAGGACCAAAACACAGAATGAACAGGGAGAGCCTTCAGGCCTGCAAAATATATCAGCAAGGTTCCAGGTGTTTTTATAAAACTGATAACCTTACAAAACATAATGCTAGTTTTTATATTGGTTCATAGCTCCAGACTGAGAGAACAAATAATGCTTTTGTAAGCAGTAACATGCAAAGGAATAGCAAGGCACAAATGAAGGCACATACTAACCCTAACCCTAAGCTGAAATAGGTGGAATAAAATACTATAAACTACTTTGTCATGGTCAAAATACAGGTTGTGAACTATATTCATCTTCACACCTTTCAGTGTCTGAAGTTCCTGAACTGTATAAGTAAAGGGAAAGCTTCTCATTGGGATTCAGTCAAAATAAAGGTCAAATATTCCAAAAATAGTTTAGGCAGAGAGGCCTGTGGTTTCATCGGGAGGGGGCTCACTACAGGGATTATTTCTCTCTATGCTCTGAGCTGCTTCACTACAAGATGCTCATTAATGTTCATGAATATAAAGAGAACAGTACATTGCTATGGCTGTTTACCTTTTCATGGGGTCTTTGACTGGCTGGCGGCCACATCGGCCATTTCTGCTGGTATGCCTACGTAAACGCCACCATAGTTCCTGAGAACAGAGGAGAAGAATGTAGCATTTAAAAGACAAAGGGATTGAGTTAGTGGTCGTTCTAAATTCAATACAGTTTCTCCTTTTAGCAATGCATTAGCTCTTTGAAGCTTTCTAACTGTTCTTGGAGGAAACCACACCTGTTTAAAAACAATCACATTACACTTTCCGTGATGTTGTCAGGCATTGATGAAGAGTGCATGGATTTTGTTTGTCTGATTTTTTCCTCTGGATATAAAAAGTGACATTGATGATGATAAAAAAATAGGAGTTGTAATCGTATTCTCACTGTACAAATATATTGATATGGTTAAAATGCACCCAACCGCAACCTCAAAAGCCTGAAAGAGGAATAAGACATTCAGAGGAAATTTGGAATTTTGATAAAATTAGCACAATACCTTCTTTTCTCATCGTCTACCGGGAGATCTTCTGTCCTGATTGAGAGAAGAAGCACAGGTCAGGTCAGCTCTTTTGGGGACACAGATTACATAAAAGCAAACACACACACACACACACACACACACACACATTGAGAACTCAACTGAGAGAGTGCATTGGCTCAGTTGCAGAATATTGGATGTATCTTTTTGGGGGGGAATTCTGCTTATTCTCATCTGACAACTGAATTGACAACTTTAGTTTCATCCAACTTCCAAGAACCTCCCCAGCTTGAGAAAATAATTTATATAAAAAAAGATAATCATTTTGCGGATGTATTATTATCACCTGTTCACATACAGGTCAAGGGTGTGTCTTTGTGTCTCTGTGTTTGTGTGTGTGTGTGTAATATAACAAAGTACAGTCCTAGGAAGCTGTGATTAGCTTCAGTGAGTCAGTGTTGTGCTGCTGTCAGCTCTCATGGGTCCTGTGCTGGCTGCTCAGATGGTTATCAAGGAGACACAAATGCTCCAAATGCTTTGGACATGCTGCCCCTCCCAAAGCTTTGATGAATGATAACTTTTTAAGGACAAACTGTCCTTCACATGACACTACGCAGAAACATGTTGGATTTGTATTTACTAAAGCAGGAACAAGCTCATACTGTATGACCATGAAGCCCAGCGGGGACCTGGTTGTATGGTCGAGTATCTTTGCTTTTTTCTTATTGACTAGTGAGGTCTTTGTTTTTCGGTCAACTATGTATGCTTTCATTCGGCTCGTAAACAGGATCCAAACAACTAACACTCTCACACAAGCAAAACATATATTTTCCAAGTCGGATTTTAGACACCTTGTTTTAGACACCGTGTTCACCTTGGATGATATAGTTATTTTCTTCATGCATTCTTCAAGTAATGCTTTGAAGAGCTGAAATAATACATTAATATAATGCATTTGACTAATATGACTAATGTACTTACACATCTTTTGACACATCTGCTGGCCCTGAAAACAGATGAAAAGGGCAATTAATTTTATGAAAATTATCTAAGGATGTATGTGATCATACTAATAAATGCCTTCATTCAACAGCCATAGGATGTGAATCATAGGCTTTTATGAATAAACAAAGACATATTAAGAGTGGTAATTTTACAATACATCACATTTCAAAAGAAAACGTATCTAGCAGCAGTCTGGTGAGGTGTTGAGTTATCGTAAAGCAAATCAGAATGACCTTAAATACATTTAAAACGCCTACATTTCTGTTCAGGTTTCTATTAATACAGTACAATAGAGTACATGTCAAGGTTTTCGCAGATCGCACTTGAAGTTTGCAGTATACAAAATTGTCACATTATATCATATCAGTTTGATCCACACAGTCATCAAACCTTTTAGTTTGTTTTCCAGTATAATTACACATAACCAAAGCACAAACATAAATGTTTTAATGATTTTTGTGGTTTTCAGTATACAGAAACACTTTCGAAAAACATTTCACAACTTGTCTCTGTGGACATGTTGTAAACGGATAAAAGGCATGCAGTTTGAATGCCTCTAATTCCAAATTACAACAGCTCATCCCAATTCTGTTTGACACATCTATGGTCCAACAACAGCTCATTCTTTGCTGAACCAAATGCAGTCCACTAAGCAGGATTTGAATCAAAATGAGATCACAGTGCATTCAGTAGGAGGATAATCATCCTGCCTGTACAGTATCACAATGACAACAGCGGAAGAACAACCCCCTCAATAATACCCTTTATTGGGTTTTTAATGCCATTTTGTTTTAATGTAGACATGTACCTTCAAAAAGAACACTCCACATGTAAGATGTCTGGGCGGAAAGAGTAGAACATTTAAATTACTCAGAAAGTCAGTAAATGTGATCCTTGTTAAAGGAAAGGAGAGCTTTTTCACAGTAAATGTTTAAGTCAGCTGACATGACACAGAGCCTATTCAGTTGCCTGACAAAAGCTCATTCATACCCACATCTGGGTGCATAAGACTAGGGATGAGCAATGTGATATAGAGGCGGCCATTTGAGCTTGGTAAGTTTTGAATTGAAACATTCTAGTATGAATTGAAAGCTTGGAAGCTTACAACTTAGGATAATCATATTTTACTTTAACCTTACTATTTAGGATTTAAAAGGCTTTTTTATTTGAGTGTTCTCATTTTCACGTTTTAACATTGTATTAATGAGTGAGAGAAAGAGTGTTGTGACATGCAACAAAGGTTTAAAAAGTGGAAGCAAACACGGGATATTGCGGTTAAATGGCATATGGTACAACCACTCAGCTAAAAACACGCTCAAGGGAATTCTTCACCTTTTTAACATTTACTGTCTAAGCAATATTAAATCAGAAAAACTGGGTAGTAACACCTTACATTATAGTCTTACATAGATATAATGATTTTTAAATGCTTTCAAATGTACAGTAATTGTTAACGATTATAACATGTCCGATTAAGTCATGTATTATATATATAAATACAAAATGTTATTTATATTGTTATCCAATATTCACACATAGGAAGACTTTTAGCTTTTTTTTTTAAATGCCTCAATTTTGCCTCACCTACATCCTAATTAGTGTTAAAGGTTTAGTTACTTTGAGAGACAAATGTGAGGTTAATAGCAATTAAACACATAAAACATAGATGAGTTGTGACATTTTCCTTTTATTGAATATTGTATCTTTACTACAGAAAATAACAGTGTGGGGAAACAATGTCCTTTGATTCTGGCCTGATGTCAACTGGCATTGACATATAAGTGCAACCATAAGTCAAAGTGACAGGATGTCACATGTTCTTGACATTGTGCCGACCGCTGACCCCTAAGAAGAAACGGAAAAAGACCAGCTGTACACAACTGACCACAGCTGGTGGATTCATGGACAAACAAGCCACACACACAACAAACTCAGACACCTTCTCAGGTGTTGTTTACAGAAATTGTAACCTGAAAGATGTATGTAAAGGAAAAAAACAACAACCCTGGATCACATTTCCCAGTAGCTGGCTGAGGCTCTGCTAACGTGCCTGGCAAGCACTAATTAGGTACCTGCAAGCAAACACACCCATTTACACCAGCATGCACAGACACCCTACTGCTTTTAATGGCCTTTGGTGGTGAGGTAATCCTGCAGATACTTAAATCTAATTTTTGCCCCAATTTGACCATGGTCCCTAGAGATTTGTACAGTATAATTTAAAACAGGTATTGTATCAGGGTGAATCAACAGAGAGAGATGTGTGTTATTTGAGGACAAGTCATTCAGGCTTTATACAAGAAACCTGCTCAATGGTCAAAGGCACTACAGCTGCTTGTCTTTCATACTGTAAATCCATGGAAACAAGGACAAACATACCAGAGAAAGAAACACAATAAAAATAATAATAAGTGAGAAAAACACATTAAAACCTGTTAGCTATGGTGGACATCCTTTGTGTGAATATAGACGTTAACATTATAATAACAGTATAGGGTCATAATCACTATCAAAGCGAGACATTCCTGAGGCTACTTCTCTGTTGTTCTGTCAATGGCTTTTTAAAAATACATATTTTTCATGATGAGACACACACATACATGATGATGCAAAGGTTGTCGATTTTTTATGAATGAAATCAAGGCATTGAGAGCCACACACAGACATGGGCATCTCAAGACAAGGGTAACCCCCACACACTTCATTTACATTCAAAACACTCTCTCTCCTTGGTGCAGATACAGTGACAACTCTCCCTCACACTCTCCCTCGTTTTCATACAAACACACATATTCCCTAAAAACACTCACCCCCTCCTGCCGTGTTGGTGCCTGCGGAATTGCCACAACCCATTTTGCATCGATGCCACGGTCCAACAATGTGTAGACGTTTAAGAAGAAGAAGAAGAAGAAGAAGAAGAAGAAGAACGAAAGAAGGGAACCCCAAAACACATTGGGGAGAGGGGGGAGAAAGTGAAAGAAGGTCAGAGAAATGTCTCCCACTGACTGTAAGACAGGGATCTCCTATGGTCCTATCCCCTTCCTCTCTTTTCAGTCTTGTGCCTATCCTCTCTGCAAACCAATGGAGAGCTGAGAGTGAAGTGAAAGCATGGAGAGAGAGCCTTTTATACACACACATACAGTATACACACACACTAGAAGAGAGGATGAGAGAGAGGGGAGAGAGAGGAGAGAAAGATGCTATGCCCTCACATGATTTGCTCTTTTCCTCCACCCTGACAAGGTTGCCCGGGAAACCGGGGGAAAGTAGGCGGAGGGTGGGGAGACACTCAACCAATAGCAAGCTTCCTTTTTTTATATAAAGGTATAGGGGAAAAGGAAATACATTTAAGGGACATTAATATTTTTGGCCTTTGTTTGTTTGTGTTTGTGTGTTTGTGTGTGTGTGTGGGACATCTTGCAAAATCCTACATACCTTCAAAACATATAGGACCTTTATTCATGCTTTACACAAACACAGACACAGAAACGGCTCACTTTTTCGAGCAATTATAGATAGCAAGGAGCTGAAAAACCCTCTGTCTGTAATTTAACCACAAGGGTTAGCACAGGTCAGTTAAAAAGACCCCAACCAATATAAACTCAATCTCTTCTTCAATCGAGCCATTGTTTGCTCTTACAGGAAGAGGGGAGTCATATGAATGGAGTTTAGACGACAGGATGCATTGCATTATCACAACGCTGCAGGGGAAACAATTCTCACACTCAGTCAGTGGTCTTATGATGTTAGGTGTGGCTGAGAGTCAAGATTTTGACATTGAAAAAAACATGCTTTTTCTCTTTCAAAGCCTTCAAACAAAAAATCTGAGTTTCCATGTAAGCCCTATTAAATTGTTCTCTCATAAAAGTCTGTGCGCAACAGTAGACATAGCAACAGGAAAAGCATTTTCTAAAGGAAAGTAATTTTTTTCACAGTATCAGATTAGACTATGTTTAATATGGAAGCCTATTTGCGCCACAGGAAAAAAACAAAACAACCTGTAAGTCATTAAAATGACTTAGCTATCTCATTATAATGACTTAATTATCTCATTATATTGACTTAATATCTCATTATATTGACTTAGTTATCTCATTATATTGACTTAATATCTCATTATATTGACTTAATATCTCATTATATTGACTTAATATCTCATTATAATGACTTAGCTATCTCATTATATTGACTTAATATCTCATTATATTGACTTAATATCTCATTATATTGACTTAGTTATCTCATTATATTGACTTAATATCTCATTATATTGACTTAATATCTCATTATATTGACTTAGTTATCTCATTATATTGACTTAATATCTCATTATATTGACTTAATATCTCATTATATTGACTTAATATCTCATTATATTGACTTAGTTATCTCATTATATTGACTTAATATCTCATTATATTGACTTAATATCTCATTATATTGACTTAATATCTCATTATATTGACTTAATATCTCATTATAATGACTTAGCTATCTCATTATATTGACTTAATATCTCATATTGACTTAATATCTCATTATATTGACTTAATATCTCATTATATTGACTTAATATCTCATTATATTGACTTAATATCTCATTATATTGACTTAATATCTCATTATAATGACTTAGCTATCTCATTATATTGACTTAATATCTTATATTGACTTAATATCTCATTATATTGACTTAATATCTCATTATATTGACTTAGTTATCTCATTATATTGACTTAATATCTCATTATATTGACTTAATATCTCATTATATTGACTTAGTTATCTCATTATATTGACTTAATATCTCATTATATTGACTTAATATCTCATTATATTGACTTAATATCTCATTATATTGACTTAGTTATCTCATTATATTGACTTAATATCTCATTATATTGACTTAATATCTCATTATATTGACTTAATATCTCATTATAATGACTTAGCTATCTCATTATATTGACTTAATATCTCATATTGACTTAATATCTCATTATATTGACTTAATATCTCATTATATTGACTTAGTTATCTCATTATATTGACTTAATATCTCATTATATTGACTTAATATCTCATTATAATGACTTAGCTATCTCATTATATTGACTTAATATCTCATTATATTGACTTAATATCTCATTATATTGACTTAATATCTCATATTGACTTAATATCTCATTATATTGACTTAATATCTCATTATATTGACTTAATATCTCATTATATTGACTTAGCTATCTCATTATATTGACTTAATATCTCATTATATTGACTTAATATCTCATTATATTGACTTAGTCATCTCATTATAATGACTTAGTTATCTCATTATAATGACTTAGCTATCTCATTATATTGACTTAGTTATCTCATTATATTGACTTAATATCTCATTATATTGACTTAATATCTCATTATATTGACTTAGTTATCTCATTATATTGACTTAGTTATCTCATTATATTGACTTAATATCTCAAATCAGGCCTCCCTCAGTAGACACACATTTAGGTGGCGCAGCGTATGTTTCGGAGAGATATGGGAGTGGGATAGGCTTGACGTGTTATTGAGCTCAACCTTGTCTTCTAAGAAGGTAACAGTAAAAACGGTGCCTACTTCCAGTGGAGCCACGAGGGGTAGAGCGCTGGTTTGTCCTTGCTTCCTTTTTGTTTTGTTTTCTTTCATTTGAGCCACCGTGCCACATTAGACTTCCTCCATTCATGTAACGCAGTAAACAGAGTCGATGTGACCCTCTAAAACATGCAGGCCTAAAGGATATATACATAAAGATACACTATGGTCCACTCGGATAGTTTGCCAGCTGATGTAGTTTAGCCAATTGTTTGCAAGTGTTTTGATCGAACAGGAAAAGTTGTACTGTTGTAGATATTTGATAGTGTGTGTGACGTACTATGCAAGAGGAAACAGGCCATCATCAATAGCCATAATGTCCATTATCGCCCACCTCATTAAACTTCGTGGAGTCCTCCCTCTAAAAAGAAATTGCACCATATATTTGATTTCACATTTAGTTTTATGACATTTTTAAACTGAGGCGCAGTACAGTGTATGTAAATCAGTTTGTATATAGAGAATTAATGATTGTAACTGTATGATGGTCTGTAGGGCATTATACTGAAACACATTGCTTACCTGAAGACTTGAGACAAATCTCTCTTTTCTCTCTACTGACGTTTGTTTGGCCTCTCAGTCAGACTCTTTCTTTTTTTTACGTTTCCTTGTACCTAGGCCTTCTCTCGTATTTGGACATGTTATATATTGTATAATCTACACCTGAAGCACTATGGTATAGCAAACTAACACAAAAGCTGGTCAATGTTATGTGTAATCTATTTAAAGAGGCATTTATAGACACTATATAGGCCCACACGCGCTCATCTGCAGATGATAAAATCCTTTTTTAAATGATCTATAATTGGCTGATGTTTGAAATAAAGCTGAGTTTCTTGTGGCTTCAGTGATAGTACAGTATACATGTTGCTGTGTTTAAGTGTTTGATGTCCGGAAAACACTCAGAAACAATCCAGTGGGTACAGCTACAGTCACAAACAAATACATATATGATTGTAAAGATATACGTTTGATTAGGAGTCATAATACAGTGTATGCTTTGACCTTGGTATATATTCAGTATCCAAACAAGGCCTGATTTATCCTCTCATATTACCAAAACTTATACGTCAATATAATGAGATAACTAAGTCAATATAATGAGATAACTAAGTCAATATAATGAGATATTAAGTCAATATAATGAGATAACTAAGTCAATATAATGAGATATTAAGTCAATATAATGAGATAACTAAGTCAATATAATGAGATAACTAAGTCAATATAATGAGATATTAAGTCAATATAATGAGATAACTAAGTCAATATAATGAGATATTAAGTCAATATAATGAGATAACTAAGTCAATATAATGAGATAACTAAGTCAATATAATGAGATATTAAGTCAATATAATGAGATAACTAAGTCAATATAATGAGATATTAAGTCAATATAATGAGATAACTAAGTCAATATAATGAGATATTAAGTCAATATAATGAGATAACTAAGTCAATATAATGAGATATTAAGTCAATATAATGAGATAGTAAGTCAATATAATGAGATATTAAGTCAATATAATGAGATAACTAAGTCAATATAATGAGATATTAAGTCAATATAATGAGATAACTAAGTCAATATAATGAGATAACTAAGTCAATATAATGAGATATTAAGTCAATATAATGAGATAACTAAGTCAATATAATGAGATAACTAAGTCAATATAATGAGATAACTAAGTCAATATAATGAGATATTAAGTCAATATAATGAGATAGTAAGTCAATATAATGAGATATTAAGTCAATATAATGAGATAACTAAGTCAATATAATGAGATAACTAAGTCAATATAATGAGATATTAAGTCAATATAATGAGATAACTAAGTCAATATAATGAGATAACTAAGTCAATATAATGAGATATTAAGTCAATATAATGAGATATTAAGTCAATATAATGAGATATTTAAGTCAATATAATGAGATAACTAAGTCAATATAATGAGATAACTAAGTCAATATAATGAGATAACTAAGTCAATATAATGAGATATTAAGTCAATATAATGAGATAACTAAGTCAATATAATGAGATATTAAGTCAATATAATGAGATAACTAAGTCAATATAATGAGATATTAAGTCAATATAATGAGATAACTAAGTCAATATAATGAGATATTAAGTCAATATAATGAGATAACTAAGTCAATATAATGAGATAACTAAGTCAATATAATGAGATAACTAAGTCAATATAATGAGATATTAAGTCAATATAATGAGATAGTAAGTCAATATAATGAGATATTAAGTCAATATAATGAGATAACTAAGTCAATATAATGAGATAACTAAGTCAATATAATGAGATATTAAGTCAATATAATGAGATAACTAAGTCAATATAATGAGATAACTAAGTCAATATAATGAGATATTAAGTCAATATAATGAGATATTAAGTCAATATAATGAGATATTTAAGTCAAT